AAGTTTACAGAAAATTATTTTTATCATTGACCATTGCTTCCTAGTCATTTAAGCGTTTAATCTCTTCAAAAAAAGGTATTTATATGTAGGTTAGCACAGATGGTTTTTTCACCGATTAAAGTAGCTTGTAGAAGTAAAGAATTAATATCGATTTTATAGGGTTCTTACAAAATAAAAATATTAATAAGTATGTGAATATTCATTACCAGGCTTCATTCTGTCATTGAAATTTCTCATTCAAAAGACTTATTGAATTTGAAACAAAACATTATACTAAATCTCGGATTTATTTGTTCATGAGATCTTTTAATAACATCTTCCAACTCTTCGTTATAAGCGAAACCACATGTTCGTCTTCGAGGTACAACGATAGCTAAAGTAGAAAATATACAGAATCCTCAAGAAATCTTCTGTCTATTTTGTTTGTCTATGAACATCATATTCTAGAAGTTATCAGTTTTCTCAATAAATAATACAGACAGATGTTCAGTAATATCAGATACACAAACAGTCAATCACCTGTGAAGACAATTTTTTAAAGACAATAGCACTATAGTTGTAATAAAAATTAAAAATACGACGTTGCTTTCAAGCTCTTCACTTTTCTTGGTTAAGTTATTATCAGCATGCTATGCAATGAATCGTTTTGATAGTGTACTATGTTTCTGAAAAGTTTTTAGGAGCAGCGAAAAATATCAGACCGAACACAGTTTTTAGACGAATATACGTCAATGTGTAAAAGTGACTGAACTGAGAAGATAACCCGAAATTTTCAGGCACACTCTATTGATCATCTCAGATTTTTTTGGCATATAGTTTTATTATTTCTATTAAATGATGGTGAAAATGTAAGGTTAATAATAAAAGAAAGTTGAGAACAAACGCGAAAATAAGAGACAATGAGAGTAGAAGGTAAAGAAGAAAAAAAGAAAATGAAGGATTACGAGTCATCATAGAATAGATAGTCTGCAGTATCTTTTGTAGTGACAGATGGAGAGTACAAAGGGGACAGAGAGATTAGAAAAAGTAACATTTCAATGGTGTTAACGGCGTTATTTGATTGCAAATGACAATAGTTGAAAAGGAACAGTTAGATATACAAAATACAGCTAATGCTTACTCAATATTGATTCAATTTCACATATGTCGTTATGTTTCCTACAACAGATCATATAAATATGAATGAATGTAACTGTTCACATAATGGACAGTGTATGATGAATGATACAACATCAAGCTATTACTGTGTCTGTAGTGATTGTACAAGAGGTGAGTTTTGTGAACACCTTTATCACTATGTACAGTATTCAATGTCATCATCGATGTTAATTAATATTCTGTTAGAAGAGTTAGCTTCTACTAGAATCGCATTAAAGATCCTTTTCATTTTCATGCTCACTCTTCTAACTGTGCTATCGTTTATTAGTAATTTATCAACTCTTTTAACATGTTTGATAAAAAAAATACGTATTACAGTGTGTGGCCTGTACGTTATATTTTATTCTATCTTTAGTTTTTTTTCGTGTAGTGCTCATTGAAATTATTGCAATTGTAACATTATTTTACAATAATGAGCTGAAGAAACATCCGCTAATACACTGTGCATTCATACCAAACCTTTTGAATCTAATGCAAGACACATGTCTATGGCTTAGTGCATTTATAGCTATTGAACGTGTATTAATTCAATTTTTTCAGTATAGTCTTTATCATACACGAAAGTATTCAGTTATTTTTCTAACTATTCTATTCCTAGTTCTTAGTTCAGCAAGCGTAATAACAGCTCCTGGACGTACTGTAGGAGAAAGCCCTATACATTCAATAACATTCTATGTCTGTTCATTTCATCATTTTTCAAATAAGAAATTGAAAATAGCATATGAAGTCATGGGTAGCATCTATTTACATTTTGTTATACCATTGTTGTTAAGTTTTTTATCGATTGTCCTGACATTAACACATATTATTCGTCGTAAAATCATTTTAACTGACTTAGAAAGAGACTCATGGCAATCACTAATAATTCACCAAATTTTAAAACACAAAGATTTCTTTATACCACCACTAGTTAGTATAATTTGTACACTTCCAGAAAATTTATTGATAACAATTGCCGAAACAGATTGTATAAAGAAAAGTATGCAAAAATTTTATTTGCGTTTACATATTGCTCTGGACTTTCTATTATATATGCCTTTAGTCTTGACATTCTTTATCTATATTTATCCTTCAAATGTTTATATGAATCTATTTCGTGAAAAAGAAATTGTTAAATGGATTAAGCTAAAAATTTCGAGTATTTGCCGTCGTGCATCTTCAAATATCAAACAAATAGTAACCGATAGGCAAATATTCGAAGAAACACGTCTTTAATTATGTATAGTTTCTACCGCGTCATAAAAACAAATATATATCTTCGTTTAGACTTTTGAATTGCACTCATTTTTAAGCTTGCTGTATAAATATATCTTACTCTTAGTCAAGACAATAGTTTTTTTTAAAGTTTACCTAACATTTTCTCTACTTTCAATCTATTTGTGTTCATCTGCGTGTGTATACTGTCACAATCGAAGACCAAGATCTTGGCCTACATTGTTTTTGGTTCAGAGCTCCGACGCTTCCTTACACTGATCTCATTGATTCCTTAAAAAAAAATAAGTTTTTTAATTAGCTGTCGGATATCGTAGTGCTGAGCAGAATGACATGATGTGGGCGTGAAAGTATGGACGCTGATCTCTTTTTGATCCTTGCTCGTGGTCACCCTATGTCGCCCTGCTCAGAAGTTCGATATCTAGTAACTATTTTAAAAAAAGAGGTTTCTTCTAGCAGTCAATAAGGTCAGTTTAGAGTGGTGCGGAAAATTCTATGAGCCGAAATTGGGGTAATCCATAATGAAATTTTCTTGATACACATGAGTCTAGTGTGATATTTACATATTTAAAAGTGCTTTTCTGTGACGGACTTCGATCACTGAGCGGTGATACGACTTTGTCTGCTACCCATCAACATATTCGACTGGGTTGCGAGATTGGCATGTATTTTCACCGTCGATGACGGGAGAGTCAACTATTTATCTATTCCAAACCAATAGGCAGCGCGCATAAAGCTCACACTATCATCCACTTAATAGTGTACTTTGAACTTTTTCTAATATCCTGGATTATTCCATTCCTATTTCTTAGTTCAAGAAGTGTAATAATCACTCTTGTATTTACCTTTAGGGAAAATCCTTCGCTTTCAACAATATCCTACATCTGTTTACTTCATCCCTTTTCAAATAAAAATTTTAAAAAAAGTTTACAAAATTATGGAGAGTATCTGTTTACGCTTTGTTATATCATTGTTATTAAGTTTGTTATCAATTGTTCTTACATTAACATATATTATTCGTCGTAAAATCATGTTAACTGACTTAGAAAGAGACTCATGGCATTCACTAATAATTCAGCAGATTTTAAAGCACAAAGATTTCTTTATACTACCACTAGTTATTATTATTTGTACGCTTCCAGAACAGTTACTATTAAAAATTGCTGAAACAGATTGTATAGAGAAAAGTATTCACAAATTTTATTTGCGTTTACATATTGCTCTTGACTTTCTATTATGTGTGCCTTTAGTCTTGATATTCTTTATTTATATATATCCTTCAAATGTTTGTATGAATCTATTTCGTGAAATAGAAACAGTAAAATGGATTAAGATAAAACTGTTAGGTCTGTGTTGTCGTGCATCTTCAAATATCGCACAGAGAGTAACTGAAGAGCAAATTATCGAAGAAACGCACGTATAAATGAATATGATATTTACTGTTCCATAAAGACAAATAGATATCTTCGCTTATAGCTTTGAATCAAACGCAAATTTCAGTTTTGTCTAGAAATACATCTTATTCTCATTCAAGACAGTGTACTTTTTTTAAAAATTTTAGAAAAGTTTTCTTTACTTGAAATCTCTTTAGTTTTATCTGAGTGTGTCTATCCTCATAATATTCTTTAATACACATAAGTGTTTGTTTTTGCTTGTATTTATCAATGGTTTCGATAAGACTGATTTTTCATTAACTTTTCTAGATAAATATTCATTGATTTAAACAGATTGTGATGATCTTCACTTTCGGTTAGCTATATCATCACTTCTTGTACTTTTCTTTTTGTGAACGTTGTTTTTTCTCTTGCTGCCTTTTGATAGTTGTCAGAAATGGACATGCACTCCTTTGGTTTTACTCACGTTTATCCCTCAGCCTCCACACATCCACCAGCACATTTTTATAGCAATGAGGAGCAAAGGTATTTAAAAAGCATTGAGTTCCTGACAATTGACGAAAGAGATGTTTCACAGCTTATTGTATCTATTGACTTTAGCAATTGCGAGAAACGGCTCCAAAACTTAACAGATCGACTATTTTTCCTTTCGTAACCGGTTATACTAGGTTGTGTTCTAGTTTACATAGAATATGTGAGTTTCATATTTTAGTTACGAAGAGAGTATGCTGACAAGCTTTTTGTTCAGAATTTGTCCAATATCTGTTAATACATCACATACTGTGTTTTCACCCCTATCAATTATAATATATTGTTCATAAGGCTATCTGATGCATACATGGATTTGTCCTTTCTTTTCATATATGCTAGTGACTTTTTTCTATTGTTGCTATTCTATATGTTCTTGTTTTCTCTGTTTGTTGTCTTTATTTTATTCTCCTACTTTTAAAAAGTCAGTGTTATTTGATAAAACTGAATTGTCGTACACAAAATAACAAAACTTACACTTTTTACTATGTGTAGCTCTCTTTCCTCTTTCTTTTTTGTACCATACTCTTCTCTCATTTTTAAATGTATACTGACCACTTTGTCCTCCGTTTCCTCCGTATTACACAATCTCACTGTGCTCATGCTCGAATCTCTTCAATTTATAGTGTTATCTTTCTCTTCGCCTTTCCTTTTGTTCGTGGTCTCATCATTTCGCTTTGCATTGTCCTTTATCGCACCCTTTATTGGTTACCTGTCATCAGCACCATTTGATTGCCATGTAATTGTGTTGTCTAAAAGATTAGCTACTCCACTGCCAGTATCTACACCAAATAACACACATTTAACTTCAGCTGTATGAATATTATTTATACAACGTCCTTACGGTCACCATAAGTATCAAACATACACATTAAAATGTTTCTAAAAGAAAAAGCACACAAATACACAGTCGTTGATAATAGGAAATCGATATACTTCAATCCATTATCATGTTAATCTCAATTCAATTTAGTAGCGACGAAGTTAACAACAATAAAAATACTATTATCGAGAGTTTTTCATCCTATCGAGATTATCAGCAGATCTACGTATATACTCATGTATCTGAATCTCTTTTAATAAACGATCAAAGCTGCTATCAAACGTTTTGGATTCAACATTAAAATTTATCGTAGTATTTTTGTATTAGATCAAGATAGCAATTTTATCACAACCTTGAAGGGTGGTAATATGCCTAAATGGTATTGCTCACATCTTTAATGATATGTTACAAAGAACGTTCTATAGTGTCGATACTTATGGAAAAATACTTAAAATGAAAATAAAAGAGACAAGAAAGAAGGTGAATCATCAATTCATATCAATTGCATTATAGCACGATCTTTCGATTCATGCTAACCACGTACCGTATTCAATCACACGATGCAACTTCTTGGTCTAGGTCAGTTTAAACCGAACTCTGCAAGAAAGAGGTAAAAACAATAAAACAAGAAGTAATTATATGATAGCTCAATATATCTCAAGTACTTGAAAATATATCCTTTCATTATATTCGACGCTGTCCTTCACATGTTACCATCGATCGATGTTATCATTGTTACTAGTCTTGTGACATTCATGGAATCATGAAAATATTTCAAAGTGCAAGTGCCAATAATGATCAAGGCATCTCTTCATTTCGTTGTCATGTCGTATTTTCATCTCATCAAAAAATGAGTTGTTATTAAGGAAAGAACAGTCAATAATACATTGAATGATAAGAGAACAATTTGACTAACAGCTGATGACTAAATAATCGACTTGTAAATAATTTTCTGTAGCTTTTTTCTTTTTCGAAATACTTGCTTGACAATTACTCAAAATAATGTTTATTTTATCTACTTTGTTACAAAATAAATTCAAGTTTTCAGAATAAAAAAAGATTCGTTCACGAAATAATTTGATTTCTGTACATTGGCTGGTAATTGACTCATCTACACCTAAGGTCTGTACGATCCATTTTTCTTGACATGACCTATATCAAGTATGTTTCTAATCGATTCAAAATACATTTTGCTGAGAAATAAAGAACTTTATTCAAAAACCAAATACATTACAACATAATTTCATATATTAGTTTATAGATAGTTGTTTTTCTTCTATTATGTGTACCATATTATGAAGTCAACGTTTACAAATAAATTTTCTTGTGGACAAATCACTGATGTCAATATTGTACAATCTAAACGTATTTTACAGTTAGATTGCACTGAAAACTTCCAGAATATTATTCGTCAATAGAAAATAGTTAAACGGTCTTTAAAAACTTTATGAAAAAAGGTAGCTTGATAATGTGTTTACATAGAAACTTTTACTATAATTGAAATAGAAAATAAAACTTGATATTTGTAAAATTACTGATTCAATAGCATGGCGATAATTATCTTTTCTAATATTTGTTGAAAGTAATGAATATGAAAAGTATATTGTTCGAATATTAAGTAAAATAAAACTATATAATACTTGAACTAATGTAATTTTAATCATTTGTGAATCAGTTCGATTTCGATTTTGTATAATTGGATGAATAAGACGTTGATGACTTTTTTGAACATTAAAATATATAATTAAACTAAATATAAACATATTAATTTGTGGAATTAAACGTGTTCAAACATACTATATATTGATAAGAAAAAAGCATAGGTTCCTGCTGTTGGAGAACAACGTTTTCGAAGATTAAAATAAACTAACAAATGAGAAGATGTTAAACTATATAAAATAATTGGAATACATGTCATTTGATGTGCTATTTTGATTTGACTAAATGAACGAATACGTTGACTTTTTGGTGTTGATAAACATCGATCTATAGAAGCCAAAATAAGATAACCTGTTGAAAAACATTGTAATATCCATGTAAGAAATATACGTATTTTACACCAAACAAGATTTGTATGTTGTAATTTGCTACCATAATGTTCACTTGCTAATTTAGTAAAAAGACCAAAATTAATACAACTACAATCGAATAGAGTTGACATTAAAAGATACCATCCACAAGAATTTTGACGTAATTGTTTTGATGTAAATGTTATAAAATTACATATAAATCCAATATTACCAAAAATAAGTAGAACATATGAAGTACAAAGTGTAATATAAAATCTTATTACTTGAATTGACTCAATATTCATTCTTACAAAGTAACTATGAAGTATTTCCATAGGCCCTAAAACACGAATAAATAAAAGAAGGTAATAGCAGTGCTATTTCATGAGGAGTTTTGAACTTCTCGAACTCTCAAACCGTGGAACTTAAGAAATTCTCGGAAGGATGTACGTTTTGATTTCGGCTCTCTCTCTCTCTCAACTCACAGCCGTATCCATACTTGCTGACAGCTTTTTTTCATAATTTCTTCTATTAATTACTAGCGCGATGAACGTACTAATAATTAACAAATCGGAAGTATCTTGTTATTTCGTTAAAATGCCACTCAGCGTTAAAGAGATTAAGAAAATGATAATAACGTACTAATATGGATTCTAAAGATCGAAAACAAAAAGAAAACTGGCGGAGAGGTATGATGTAATGATATTTGTAGTTGATGATTCAGAATATCAATTTATTCTGTATAGAAATATAATCCGAAAACAAGCTATTTTAATTATCACTTGGAAATATGATTTATACATACTTTAATTAAAAACAAATATACTTTCTTCAAACTAGATTTGATGCATTTTCAACAATTACTTATGTTAAAATTAAATTTCCTATTATTAGTCTACGTGACAGAACTATTTTTGACATATTTCTCAACAACACAATAATCCTATATTTCTTTCCAAGGACAAACATTTTTAAGAACATACATTTATTAAATAGAAGCTACTTATTCACATGAAAAATTATTTTATTTTTTTACATCTCATAGATGAAAAAGTGGGATAGTTTTGAGATATTATCTAATAAACGATATATTGAGTAGTCTAGTATCAGGACGAAACAATCAGAAAAATTTATTCTTAGTGTGTGGGTGTGGGTGTGGGTGTGGAGTGTGGAGTGTGGGTGTGGGTGTGGGTGGGTGTGGGTGTGAATGTATAAATTTCGTTCACACACACATCTCATACCCACCCACACCCACACTCACACCCACATCCACCCCACACCCACACCCACACCCACCCACACACCCACACACACATCCACACCCACGCCCACACCCACCCACACACCCCACACCCATTCTGATAGCTAAATGCTAATTATAATATCTAAAATACTGCGCTTTTAACATGATTCCTAAGCTCTCTTCGAAGTTATATTATGATCAAAAAAGTGATGCAATTAGAATGTGGCTTGTTTAATTCTCCTTTGAAATTTGCTGAAGATGTTCTAGAACTTAGATAGTCAAAGTCAAATTAGCCGTATCTAATTTGAATCAATATAAAATCCTAAGATTTATTGAACGTGAACATGGCCAAAAGAGTGTTCTCAACATGCTGTCGATGGTTGTGCTTCTGTGGCGCAATGGCCAACGCGTCCGGCCTCTAACCGGAGGATTGACTGTTTGAGATTGTTCACTAATTGCGATTATTAATTATTTGGTTCAATAAAATATAATCGTGCATTATCATCATCATCATTGTTGAATGTATTTTTCGAGTCCATCCAGGAGCATTACATTCGTATTTTTTTTTAATTATAGATCTGTCGAAACAAAACTATGCAATACGTTATATAGAAAGTATTTATTTCCTCACAAAAGTAATTGCATCATATAAGTGAGAAAAAAAAACATACGTCATGAGATGTATCACTACTAGTATATCACAATGAGAAAACACAAACCTTTGTGTCCTATGAATGAAATATTTCATAATCCTTGATGAGAAGAAAAATAATGGAGAATAGTCGTTGGATGAATTCAAAGTCCGATTAAAAGCCGAATACGTTAACCACTCACGCCGCAAGAACATTAATGAATATTATCGACAAGTTATTTGAATAAAATACATCGGATGTGAAAAACTATTTTTGAAAACTTGATGAAAATCTTTTCTTCTTGTTTGAATACACGATTTGAAGTTTTTTCAAGAACATCAATCGTTTTTGTATGTGATTCATCCGTATCGATACCTAAAAGAATTTATCAGTATGAGTTAACAAGAGTTCTGTGTGGGTGAATGGAAGAGTCATAGCAATAGTCCATCCCCACAGACAGAAACGATAAAATTCACTCATACATAATACTGATCGCATAGACAAGAGTAAGGATGTTCATTTCTTTTATGTTCTTTTTTTTCATTTTACTTTGGGTACTGTTCTTCAGTAGAAAAGACAAACCAAAATGCTGACAAAAGGTTCATTGCAAGACTTACGACTTGTAATATATTCAGTACGTCAAAGGGTGTGGATGTGGGTGAGAGTGAGGGTGTGTGCGTGGGTGGAGAGAAAATCAACATCCACACATTCACACTCACTCATACCCACCCACACCCGCACCCATCTTCAAATGCTTGAAATGTAGATGAATACTATATAGTTCTAAAGAGTGCAGGATGTGAGTGTGAGTAGGGCTATGTCAAAAAGATGATTCACCCACACCCACACCCCACACCAACACCCTAAGATGGCCATCTATTTGCTAACAGCCTGGTAACTAAAGAACGCAATATTATTTTATTTTTAAACCGATCTTAAATTGTATCTATTGCAACAAAAGAATGGAAAACTTAGTTCTGTGTTAGTCTTATTGTTATCTCGTTTACAAAAAAAGCCTAGATCTTTTCAGCTTGATTATAATATACACGAGTATAATACGAACTATCAGTTCGAGTTAATGTGGTATGCCATAGATATCAATATAGATAATATTATCATTAATACTAGTCTCTACTTTCTTGACGATAAAGGTAAAGCCAGCTGGTAGAAGAACTTCATCTTCCTCCGGCATCTCACTCAAATGTGATATGTCTACGGGTCGATTGTATCGAAAGCGATCAGTGAATTGACTCAAATCAATATTGAAAATCACGTTACAACCGAATTGTTTTGCAATAGTAAGAGACTTGCTCGTCGATGTAAAGCCAAGCCACTTAACAGATCTCTTTCCAACAATCTGTTGATATCTATCGATCATAAATGGTTCTAATTGACATCCTCGAAATACATTTTCACGATATGTAGGCGTTGTAGACGCGTAAAGGTAATGCGTCAGTAAATAGCAAAATGGCCCTAGTGTTTCTGATTTGCTTTCATCATCATCACGAAGTGCTTGATTCACTACTCGATTAACAAATACATTGCGCGTATAAAGACGAATGCAATAAGCCACAAGTTTGTCGCGTGATTTACCCTTGATTTGATTAAATTCTTTATTGATGAGAGTCAAATCTTCTTTCTTTTTACATTCCATCTCCCCCACTTTCATTAAACCTTCCCGAGCTGCCTCTGCTATAGTCCATTCATGCCCTTCTAAAGACTCTCTCTCACCTAAAAATTTTTTTCGCCAATTTCGAATCATACGAGAACCACGATAGTGATCTTCATCAAATGTTTTAGGTTCGTGAGGCAAATCACTGAGTTCAGGATCGATTGATCTTTCCAATGATGATGACACTTCAACATTTGTAGATATTTGAGGCAAGGACGAAGATATCATTTCATCGACCTTCAAATCATCTTCATAAGCAAGATCACTTATTTCATAACGACGTCGTTCAGCTAGCTTTCGCTCCTGTCGACGATGGCAATGTTTTTGAATCCGACGAGAATTATCTTTGTACGTGTGATTCATATTGTAACTTACGGTATGACTACCGAGCTAAAAATAATCAACATTTCAGTTTTATGTGAATGTCTCGATATAATTTCTTCCTATAACAATTAAGTGCTTCATGACGAGATTACTCATTTCTTTCTCTGCAAAACTATTCTTTTTCATTCATCCAACTTCAATGCTCTCATTTCTCGCCTACTTGCGCAAACAAGAAACAAAATAGTCGATACTTTCATAAATGAAATGCATATTTTAATGGCACAAAAAAATTTCTCTCCAAGATAAACAAATTTTAAAGCAACGACTATGATTAACTGGTTTATTTTAAAGAGCAACATTTTGCATGTGTCACAAAATACTTTGTTTAAATATGTATAAAAATGTAGTTTTATTACCCGTTTCTCGAGTGCCCAACTTCTTACAGAATATTACAAAAATTTGGTTATATCGAAACATTAAGTAAGATACAAAAAATTCTTAAAATCTTTTGATACATTATTGGTTTACTACACATTAAAAGGAAATTTCTTGCAAACATTTCTTAATTATCTCACTTCTTAGACAGTGGTATTGTTGCTTGAAAAGCAACCAAGAACCAATAGTTATCTCAATTATTCTATTTTATAGTCTACTGCAAAAGTTTTATTTCAGGTCAGTTTAGAACAACAATGTTAACAAGACTGTTTAAAAGTTTCTATGAAAAACTCAAGATTTTGAAAAGTTAATCACGACTAACTTCAACACTTCAAAAGTGAAAAAACACAATTACATAAAACTGATGAAGCAGACATTATTTTTGATGTACTTCAATTCCATCAATTAAAGTGAATATTTTCATATAATTAATTTTATCGTTTTGATTGATGAAATCGACATACATAAACATCGTGCTCATTTCATCATCAAAAAAACGCCATTTTCCCGTATTTTTGTATAAAATGCATGAAAGATTAACAGTTGTTAGATTTTCAATCATGTTTCACTCAATGAATCGTAGTTTCAATATTTCTCATCTCATTATAATCTCTAAGGATGCGTCTTGTTGCAACCCATCTTTTTCTCTCTCTTGTTAGCTGATGAGCTCCGTAATTGAGGATGAAACGCGTCGACCAAGGCAAGAAAGTGTTTGCATATGATCATTGATGAACAGCGTAGTGAGGAAAATAAAGTACTAGAATAAAAATTTCTTTATTGATATGTCTCTGTCATTGATGGCTTATATTTTTGCTTATGCATGTGAAGTACTTCAGGTTACTGCCTTGTGAAATTTCTCTTTCTTCTGATTTTTAGAAGCAATCAAAGCCGTTAACCTATGAGCGTCGTAGATTTTTTCCCATTTAGATCGTTGGAAGAAAGAATTTCAGCGTTGTGGGGTTATTTCTAACATAAAAGACGGATCGAGTTGGAAAAAATATGGCAAGCAAACATTATACGATCTTTATATATATGATCTTTTGTGAGCAATTTCTGAATTTCTTACTTTGTAATATAAATATATTCTTCAATATATGGAGTAAAGCTGGTCGTCGATGCTATTACTTTCGTCACAGAATGAGGAAAAAGGAAATAAGAACCAGCAGACAATTTTGCAACATAGGTAAATGATCTTTTGCTAGCTTTCCTTTTTTTTTCACCATTTCTCTTCTTTTCTGTAACTTTCTCGTTTTCTATCCGTGTAGATCAACAGCGACAGCATCGAATCAAAGAAAAGAAAGAAAGAAAAATAACTGAGAAACTTCTCATATTTGTGCCAATGGTGTAAATAGTGAAATAACTTTTATCAGAGTGCTTTTGTATAAAAATCCTGACAGAGATGCAAACAATGTTTCTTGATAGAAATAGTTGGCTTTTTTAGTCACTCTATATAATCATGAAATCGGCCATTTATTTTCTCATTGATGAAAGTTTTGAATCACCTTGAAAAAAAAGTTTCAGCTGGTGTGGGTGTGGGAAAATAAAAGATCCACACCCACGCCTACAATTTATTTTCCACAATCTTAGTAGATCATTGCATAAAACAAGAAAAAAATATTTCCTCCACATCGGACAATTCATCAAAGAGATAAACAGGAAAATACGCAACTTTTTCAAATGATAATGAATTCATTGAATTTCTCAAATATTTTCGCACTCACAACGTATTCAACACTATCATTTAATTAATTCCATTTCAATAAAGATCTATTCGATATGGAATATTATGTCATTACCATTATTATTGTTTATCCGATATTTTCGTGAATAATTCTTCATTCCTATCAGTATTATTTTGCCTAATTCACCAGATAAAAAAGACATTCATAGAAATAATACAATGTTCAGATAGATTGATTAGTCACGAGAAAACTTTTCAATTCTTATTTCGACTAACGATTGAAGAATCATTCTGATAAATCTATTTTATTGATAAAAACGACATTAAGTGTTTTAATCGTTACATAAATATGTTTTACATACAAAAATCTTTTCATCTTTCTCAATTATATCGTTTTGATTAAGATCATAATCATATCTCTCTATCATCTCAATATTTAGGTCAATTTTCAAATAAAAATCTTCATCATGTCAGCATTGGACATACAAATTATTTCAATATCTATTAAATAGATATTTGTCCTTTTTTTTTTATTTTCGATGTCGCTTCAAGTTAGATTTATTACAATATTAGACAAGTGAATTTTTTTTCTTCTTCTGTTTAAACATTTATTTATTTGCTTTTTTTTTGTTCTGAAGATATTCAATTTCTGATACAACATTAGTTATTTCATCGTCATCAAAAAATTCTCGATTAGAATCTATTCTTAAAGGATTATTACAACCGACAGGTTTATTTTTATTTGATATAGAATATGATTTTTTTGATGAAGTTTGAATTTTGTTAGTATCCTCAAATGATTTATCTCGTTTATCATTTGTTTTTTCATGTTTTAATCAATTAATTCGTTCATCATTAGAAGAACATATTCGAGAAAAAGATGAATCATTACTTGAGGGTGAGGGTGTGGGTGTTGGTGTGGGTGTGGGTGTGGGTGTGGGTGGGGTGTGGGGTGTGGGGTGTGGGGTGTGGGTGTGGGTGTGGGTGGGGTGTGGGGTGTGGGTGTGGGTGTGGGTGTGGGTGTGGGATGTTTGTCTGCAAAAATAACACCTACACCCACACCGGCACCCACCCACACCCCACACCCACCCACACCCACACCCACACCCACACCCACACCCCACCCACACCCACAACCAAATTGGAAATCCTCTACAATAAATGAATGTATTGGTACAATCGATTTGATTCGTAATACAACACAAGGAAATCAATTAATGAATCGTGGGTGGGTGTGAGTGTGAGTGGCTATGTATATCGTCTTCACATGCAGGACACCCACACATCCGTGCGGATATACACATTCACATCGACACTCACTTCATACGTACACCCACACAGCCACATCTGGACATCTATAGGCGCACATCCACAGCCATCACACCCATACCCACCAACACCTACATACACCTGTTTCAATTCTGATTTTGATACTTATAGAGTGCAATAAAATAAAAAGAAGTTGTTTTTTCGATTAGCAGTTTTCAAGTATGTTTCGTTAATTGAGATACTATTCTTTTCGATTCAAGCATGATTCTGGAATGTGCAGCTTTTGGTGGTAACGTAACAATGATTTCGTTCTTCCCTGTCGCATTTTGATTGGTTTTCAATTCTTGGACTTGGCTTCGAATTCCAGGACCACTGAGTGGTAAGTTATACAGTGTAGCAACCAGCGGAAAGATTTCTTGGGGTTGGATTAGCTCAGTTTTTGTGGGGAAGCGCTTTTGATTTTCTATTTCTATTTTAAGTAGTTCTATTTCCTTTTTGTAATCTAGCAGTATGGTTTCCAAATGATGAATAATATCGTCATTTTGATGGGCAATTCTATTCCGCATGCGTTCTTCCCTTAGGAAATGTTCGATATAGTTCAGAACGTCTTCATTATATGGAATAGTAGAATTTATTAGAATAAATTTGCAAAGCTTGTCGTAAACGTCTTCAACTTTTGTTTGTTCATCTTCTACTTTGATATTATATGAATTACATTGACTCAATGACAGAAATTTACTTGTTACCATCGTGGGTAATCGAAGAATCTGTTGAACTTCGTAGAGGGCAGTCATATCACGAGTGGTATGCGGCGAACGACTAATGATGTGAGCAACTAAACGCTGATATTCATTAACGCTGTAGTCCCAACTCTTTCCGGAGCTTAGTTGCATCTCTTGACTGAACCGAATGCCATTTTCCCAGCATGCCAAATAGCGAAATGCTTCATTATCGAATAAAACTGTATTCGTCTTGACGAAACTTATGTCAATAGCATGGTTTTCTTTAAGTTCATTCAAAAGGAATCTGAGAACTCTATGCGTGCTACCCGTAGTGAAATGCGTTGAACAAGCATTTGTAAAGAGAAATACTGTATTTTCCATTGCAGTTTTAGGTAAAAGTAGAAGAAGCTCTTTGATAGAATAGCGAAAAGAAACCCATAGTCTTTCTTCATTTGGTGTTAGACAAATGCATATTCCATTCAGATATTCATACTGGGGGTGTGGGTGTTGGTCTGAGTGTGGGTGTGGGTGTGGGTGTGGATGGACGGTGTGGGTGTGGGTGTGGGTGTGGGTGTTGGTGTGGGTGTGGGTGTGGGTGTGGGTGTGGGTGTGGATGGACGGTGTGGGTGTGGGTGTGGACGGACGGTGTGGGTGTGGGTGTGGGTGATGTAAGGTGTGGATGTGGGTGAGCAGGAAAATTGGTATCGCACGCACACGCACATCCACACCCACATCCACATAGCCAACACCCACATCCACACCCACACCCACATCTACACGCACCCGCACCCACCCACACCCACATCCACACGCACCCACATCCACCCACACCCACACTCACACTCACACCCACACCCATACCCACATTCACCCACACCCACACTCACACCCACCCACACCCCACAACCACACCCTGAACATTCAATGCAGTTTCCTTTTTTTAACATTGCTATTGATGTTGGATGGTTCGATTTCAACGTGATATTTCTTTATTTTCACATGTCATTGTTCAGTATGACTTCTACTATTTTTCAAATACTGTTCCTTATATATAGAAATTCTTTAACAATGGCATTCGAAACGTAACTTTCGATCCATTATTGGTCTTCTCAAAGTAAGAGGAGAGTGGAAATCAAGAAAATAACTCGATACGATTCTTACATAGTTTGTGTATTAAAATTTGAGATAGTCATCCGTCTCTCGGTGCTAAACCTATATTCAAGTGATGCTGGAATATTTAATTGGCACCCATATATTTTCAAAAAAGACTTACGAAAACTTTACCTACTCTAGGTTGTAATCTAAAACGAATATTTAGGAAAACAATTCAAAAAGTTTTTTTTTATTGCTATAGATTTATTCATTAACCTTCAATTGTAAAATAGTGTAGAATTATGAACAAAAAAAACAAAATTTCAAATATATGATCTTCACAAAGAAATCTTTCATTGATTCTTTTGCAGAATTAGAAAGTCATAGGTCAGCTTACGTATCTAGAAAAAGGAAGATACCAAATAAACTAATAAAAAAGAAACAAACCAACATTTTCTAGAAGATTTTCTTCTTCTCAAAAATTTGATACTACCAACAATTGGATAACTATTGATTATGTATTTTTTTTCTCTCTTCTCTATGTTTGAAAATGCTTCCTTACTAAGCTTAACAATAACAATTCAAATATATTCTACTAGGATATAGTCTTAAAAAAAATTCTACGTTTTCAATCTAGATCTTTACGAACATACTATGAATAATTCTTATAATATCAAGGAAAAAAGAAGTCATAAATTTCCAAATAATCTAATAGATATTTCAATGATTCAGTTTCCCACTTATAAATACATATATATATACATCTGTTTTAGATATTGTTGAAGACCACTATAAATCGACACATAGGAAAAACAAAATCAATATTTCAAAATAGAAAAATAACACAAAAAATAAAATCAAAGTCTCAAACTATAAATATAACGTATTTGATCATGGTATAAATATAGTAAAGTCGAAAATATTAAATAGCAACAGAAAGAATAGAACGAAGATGAAGAATATAATTTGTTTTTTTATTTTTATGAAACAACAAATCAATAACAATCAACAACAGAGACATAACTATTTGACTTTTTTTTCTACATGATTTTCTTAAATGAAAAACTTAAGTTAACATCAACATAGAATAATTGAAATGAAGGAGACACAATATGACAAAAGTATAATGAATTTAATATGAAAAACTTAAAGAAAATCTTATGTTCAACTCATTATATATGTGACATCGCAAAATACATGAATAATCGAATTGAAAAAGGAAATGAAAAAAATGAAAAGTAGAAACATAGACAAACATTTCAATATGAATAAGAGAATAATTCAAACCATTTTTATCATTTTATTTGACGTTTTGTTATGCATTCAATACATTATCAGGCAGAAAAAAAAATGAAATGAATATACAAGACAAGAAAGAAACAGAGATGAACAAAAGAACAAAGATATTTATTAAAAGAAAACATTTTCTTCTATACTAAGTGTCTTTGTTCTTTTGTTTAACTTTCTTTCTTTGTGTTATTTATCTATTTATTGTTTCTTTCTTGTCTTGTGTATTCATTTCATATTTATTTTGTGACTGCTTACGTTCTGAGTACATAACAAACGGTCAATTAAAATGATAAAAACGGTATGGATCATTCTCTTGTTCATATTAAAATGTTTTCACTGTACATAAATAGAAGAAAATCTATTACTACGACAGAGGAATAGTTGGTCAATTTCATTGACTAGGAATTCATGTCATATTGATTTGTATATTCTAATGAAACAATGTTAACTAAAATATTTCGTTTTTGCACAAGTTAGTAAGTCTCTTTTGTATAACACAGATAATAAATATACACGTTTGCTATTTGCGACACCTTTTGCTTTCCAATGCACATTGACTCACAGAGATGAACCAAAGGATTTTTTCTTTCTTCTGTTCAAACATACGACTTATGGTTAAGTTATGCTCTCTTTTGTGAGAAACTCCAAGCATTTCACTGAAGAATAACAATTAACAAATATGTCGAAGAGACTAGAATGATGATTACTATCATATATTTCATTGATTCTATCATCAATCCCAGTCACAAAGATTTTAAACGAATCTGATCATATAAACTAGGAAAACAATATTGTGATAATTTTTTTAAACAGAAATTATCATTAGAATATCATTAAAAAAGTTACATAAAGTTTTGTTTTATTTTTTAGATGACTACCTCTGATTTTTATAATAATTTAATAATTTCATCTATATTTTCTTTTAAAACTAACAAACAACCAACAAGATCAAAAACTCAACGTCATAGGTTCCTCGATGGTCTCGCTTTATTACTTAATGGTTTAAATAAATGTACATCAGTTTATCCATTGTTGAAAGAAAAAAAAATATTAATAACATGTAATGAATCATTAAAAAGTGATGATAAAATTTATTTTGATGAATTTTTTGGTTTAATAAGAGAATATTCACAATATTGTTTAACATCAAATCAAGATGATATGGGAAAAATCTATTTATTATTAGAATCTTATATTTGAATATAATAAGAATAAATGTATTAAATGTATAACTGATGATTTATTTAATGATGTTGTTTCAAATCTTAAAAAATTATCAAATGCTAATGTTGATAATTTATGTCAAAAAATTACTTATGGCAAATTAAAAAAAGGTTCACCCGATTATTGTTATTTAAAAGAGAAAAATATTCTTTTAAAAGAATATATTTTAAAATTATTCAGTTGGATCGATTATATTACTTCAAATCGACATGCTATCAAAAACAATGAAAACAATGTTGAACTAAAAATTATTTTGAAATTTCAAGTAATTGGTGAATTATTATATAATTCTGAAATATTTCGTTCTATACTATCAAAAGTATATTCAATTGGTAATGGTGTTGAACGTATTCTATATTATTTAGATACAGTATCGGCACATCATCGATCATTCAATTTAATAGTAAAAACTTTAGAAAAACGTAAATCTGAATATGGTGAAATATATAAAAATA